CTCAGGCTTGGGGATCATCGTGAATAAATTATTCACCGATAATCACCTCGCCTTCGGAGAATAATTGTTAATTATTATTAATAATAATATTAATATTTTTTTTAATATTAATTTATTTATAATTAAATTTATTTCCAATAATTAAAAAATTGGTAAAAAAAAATTTTCCGCCAGTCCGCGGGTCCGCGAGTCCGCGTCCGCCAGTCCGCGTCCGCCAGTCCGCGCCCGCCTTTTAACTACACCCGTTTTTAAGTTCTACCATAAGCAAAAAAATGTTAGTAATGTTATTATAAGTAAAAGTTTATCTATACGGCGTGATGTAAATCTGTTACTGACTTACTGTGTTTCCGGATCAAAATAAGAAGGTTGTGAAGAGATATGGATTTTATGTTCGAGTGGCAAAAAAAAACACAATATCTCACGAGTGAGCGCAGCGAACGAGTGAGATATTGTTTTTGACACGAGAACATAAATCCATATCTTCTCGCAACCGTGTAATGTTCTGTTTATTATATGGACTTATTCAGAGTGACAAGAATACACACAAAGACGACATGTAAATAAGCACGCAAAAGACCAGTGTAAAAGAGATTTTTTTTAAAATTATAGTGCAAACATAAAACTACAATAAATTTTACTTATCTCAAGATGTCTTTTAAATGTTTTCGTTTTATTTCCAACGTTAATTTCGTTTTAAATACGAACCAAAGACCATTTGTATTTTCAAAACAACAACAATGAAAATGGCGGAAAATTTTCGAACTTCGTATGTCACTAGCAGGGGTGAAATACGGAAAAAACGCGCACCGGCGTGACGTAAGAGTTCTACGAGTGTTTTAGTTTCCAGTAAAACACCATTGTACACTATAATAATACATGATATCTCAAGAGTGAGCGCAACGAACGCCTTTCAACACGAGAAATAAATCTGGTATTTCCAAGAATCCATGTATTTTCCTGTTTATTATATAAAGGACACTCTTTGAAAAGCGATAATTTTTACAGAAAAGCGGAAAATTAAAAGCGATAATTTTCACATGTGAAATTATCATAAATAATCTCACATGTGAGATTATCAGTTTTATCTGTGCTCAAAATCTCTATAAAGCACTATACTTTATATAATAAATCATCGTAATGAACAGTAAAGTGTGTGTATCGAACCAGCCACACGTGCAGTGAAATGATATTCTATTCCGCTGGTGACTTGTCACATTTACTTGTCAGTGGCATATGACCATATAACCAGAGGTGGGGCCCGTCCCTCTCGGGTGAAATTGTAGGGTCCGGTTGGAAAAATTTTGACGTAAATTATTTCGTTGGCATGTACCGATTTGTGAAAAATGTAATCACATAGTTTGTATAATTACCATATACTATTTATAACCATACTATAAGTTCAACTCGCTTCTTTTGCTATTCTGAATACCACGTAAAGCCAACCACAAAAAGACAACAACGTACCTCAATTTAGGCAATATATAATATGGGATTAGAAAATTGTTCTAATGTTCTAATTGGCACGCACTTAAATCAATTCAAGCACGCATTCATGCATGCTTGCGTGTTTGTTTGCACTCGTCAGAATCAACAGTCTTTAATAACTTAATTGCGCGTGCCGCATATGCAGAAAAAATAACGGAAGAATTCGGTGTAATTAATAACGGAAACTTTATTAACTTTCAATAATATATACATACTGCAATGGTATAAGCCTCTCTTTACAGGTAGTTTACCAGTGATCTGTATTTATAGTATGACATTAGTTGTAGGTTATTCCATTATTTGTTGCATGCGCTTAGAGAACATATAATGCGAGGACCAGGGCGCTTATATACCGCTTATAGTATATAAGCGCCCTGGAACCTGACGTCCTGACACATATGTTATTCAATAGTTGACTATAAGGGTGTTGTTGATGAAAATTATCGAGTGGAAATTCATATACATTTTATTAGACCTACAATCCTCACAAAAATTATCGTGGACACCGCGTGCGTTAAAGTGAACTATATGTATTTCTACAGAATTTATCTCACTAAAGATTTCTCCCCCTCCTACCCCCAATTCAATGTTGGCAAATCATTTAAACATACTTTTAAAATTTAAAATTTAAATGCGGCAAACAACATTGAATAGGGGCCAGGGGCCGGGGGGCGGCAAATTTCATGAAATAACGTCTCAATGTTAATATTGCCATTATTGACGTTAGAAAAGTTAGGTGTCCACATAATTTTTGCCAGGATTGTAGCTAACCAAGAACAGCTGCGATAAATGCAACTTTAGGTCCCTGTTTGTTAAATCTATATATACACTACTCTAAACGGAAATATGATTTAATTTGCTAAAAATTCACTTAGATCGAAGTTTATTTCGAAGGCGTTTCTTAAAATTCTAAACATTAGAACAAAGTTTAAGATTTGACTTTAAGGAGTATAAGGTGTATCTGTGGTCACTCGTGGTCCATCCGCGTTCACTCGTAGCCCATTCGTGGTCATGTGGTCGCTTCGTATCGACAGTTATTTAAAGCATCATGCCTAATGAAAGGTAAAATTGACATTTCTGCGCAAGTGGAAATGCATGGTATTCACTTTATCTATATCAGCTTTCGCAGCATAGTGTATACGTGCGTAAATAAATGTTTATTTTGCATGGGAGACTAGTTTCGTAACAGTATACTACTATACCATAATCTAACCACACATTGTCCCACATGCTGTGTAACATGCATGATATGATATATAGTTAGTCAGTTTAGAAAATTATTACGTACTCAATGTCTCAATCAGATTACTTGTGTGATCATTAAACTAACTTGAATTTTGCTACATCGTATAATATTGGAACTCTTAAGTAAGAGTTAATTACCGAGAAGGAGGGCTTTATGCTATATACAGCCCCGAGAACGCGAAGCGTTCGAGGGCTTTATATAGCATAAAGCCCGACATTCGAGGTAATTAACTGACTTATTTCATGATTGAAGAGGTTTTCTAACAAAGTTTTCTTTTTTTTCGATTTCGACAAGTATTTTTCTAGTTTTCTCGCTTATTTCTTGACTAATTAGGGCTGTATGGTATTCAAGGGCATTATGCTATATACAGCCCGCGGTACATCAAAGAAAACCGAGTCAATCATGAAATAACTGTAGTAAACTGCATATACTCTAAGAAAATGCCAGTTGGCAGCTTGTAACAGAAATGACCTGTTGAATTCAGGGTTGGTAAGTTAGATGAATAATTAGGCCAAATCGTCATTATGATAGTGCCGTTTAGAAAACAAAGAAAACAAAAGGCCAAGACAAAGAAAACAAAGGCCTAGTGTGACGGTGTTTGGCCTAATTATTCAGCAAACCTACCAACCCTGCTGTTGATTTAATATGGAGCGATGACAAACAAGCGGTCTGTTTATCCCGGCATTTGCCGGCAAAGCGAGTTGCTCGGCAACGGCAAGATCCCGGCCACTACAGAAACTTAATAGTTTTCCAGGGTGGTTGTTTACATGATACAAGCGCAAAAATACATACAAATCATTGGGTCTGAATTTATTGAAGCTGCCTTAGTCTTATATTTTCATGATATTTTGTAATGTTTTTAATAAATATAATCGCCTGAGGATCGCTTTGTCTCTGTAGCAAGACTAGTTTCAAGATGCAAGATTAGAGATCATTGCACCGGTACTTAAATCTCTCCGTTGGCTTCCTGTCAGCAATTGAATAACCTTTAAGATCTTACTGGTCGTTTACAATATTGTTAGTAACTGCTTGCCATCATACCTCTCCGACCTGTTAGAACCTTATATTCTAATTAAGGCGCACGTTACCGACTCAGTACATAGACTATAGTCATTAGTCAGTATCTCAGGGCAGGTAATTAACTGTTCCTAAGACTGCCACTGTCACCTATTGAGACAGGGCTTTTTCTGTTTTAGCTCCTAGGCTCTGGAATAGCCTGCCAATTAATAATATTAGAAATACCAGCCCTGTAAACTCTTTTAAATCTGAAGTTAAGACATTTAATTACGAATCTTTATTAGTCAGGAAAACTGCATTCACATAACGTGATTTTCAGACAGGTCCTGAAGATTTCTTTTTAAGGATGCTTTCTCTTCTTAGAATTAGTTCTCATATTAAGAGCGACATATTATTATCATTATATTGTTATTTATACACTAGATAATTTAAAGTATAATGTTAAGTTACTCCATATGATGGAAACCCATTTCACCAAAAAACTCACCGCACGCTCAATTTTCAAGTCCCCCCCAAATTTTGCATGCACACTGATAAATAAATACTGGAGCTACCGATTTAACAAAATTCTACATCTTTATTTGACTTTAAAAACTGTTTAAGTTGCTACGAGTTTATTTTGGACATATGACGTCCGTTGCGTCACGATAATTGCACGCTTCTGATTTAGCTAGCTTAAAGGCTGCCGAAAGATCATAGTCATGATCAAAGACTTGCTAATACGCCAGCGAAACGTAAATGTAAAGTATAGGCAATGCTACAGAGCCATCTAAATGATGACATGCTATCCCTCCAGAGAAAGCATTTCGCTGCGTTGTTGTTGCATAAAGTGTGATAAAAGATATACACAATATTCACACACATCCGGTATTGAGTATCACACCTATCGACATATTGTCATTTACAATTACAAACCGAGGCAAAAACAATACTGGTTTTAGTTATATCTCGGTAGCGTTTTAATATTTTCGAAGAAAACTCGCGGCAATCGAAAGATCCAGCCCTCAATATTAATGCGTGCTAAGAAATGTAAATTAAATTAAATTTAATTTAATTAATAGATGCCACATTCAATGATAATCTTCATAAAATACAGCAATAATGAAACTTGTGTACTACTTTTTAAAGATTAAAACCTTTATTGTTGTGTTCGTCTTAGTATGATCAATAATAGTTTTGGGCGGAATGCATTGGCCTCTATAGTGGAATGTTTTCCTCAAATGTAATATGATCTTCCTGTTTTCTTTAACAAGTTGCCTAAAATTTTCAATCATGTGATCATACTCTGCAAGTTCTGACGCAGTGTAAATACAGTACATGCACGTTTCTGTGGACCGGTTTTCTCAACATGGCACAAACAAATTGCGCGTTTGAAATGGATGTAAAAACGTCCTCAGATCCTAACGGTAAGTAATAAGTATAGACAATATAGCTGCTTTGAAAAATTCTTAAATACATGCGCTTTTGCGCATTGCTTGTTGTCGCCTTGTTTAAAAACACTATTAATTAAACGGTACAATTTTAACAGCATTGAATATTGAGTTCAGCTATGAGAGTTATACATTGACATGAACATTGTAGACTTAGTTATACGGGTTGTCTTGTAAAACAGAAAGTAAACAGCCACAACCTAATAACCTATACTAAGCTATGTTCGCGTTTTGCAGACATGTTTTTTTACTATAAATACTGAATAATATAGCTTTCTAGTAGGCAACTAGCCCTTTTGTATTATATATTAGGGGGAAAATGTAGGTGATTGAATTGGTGAACATAATAAATAAATTCTTATATAGCTAGGGCGAACACGGCCAAACGTGATTGGCTGATTTGTGGTCACGTGACTTCAGATAAATACAATGCATCCCGCCGGGCAACAAGTGAAAAATTGTTGCCCGCCCCGACCGGCTACGCACATAAATCACAATTAGCATAATTAGAAACTACGATTTTCCAAGTTTGTGTTCAAATAAAGAATGTAAAAGAGAAGAAAAATACACGGATGTCATGAATGATGACAGCTTTTTGAATTTCTGTTCCAATCTCTCAATCGTACATCATATAATGTACATCTTGACCTTGACAGCGAGAATAATCAGTAAGGATTCATTTGATGTCTCACTTTGATACACAGCAGTTCGACATTAGATTACCTAATTAAAGTCCTAAACAGATAAAGCTTAAAGTCACTCATACGTTTATTCTTTTATTTTTAGTTCCAGTTCCAAAAGTAACACTGTAGAGTAGTAACTGCGTACTTTGAATTACTGGTTAGGACACTTAATTTACATTATAAAAACAAATTGGTTGTTTAATTAATTAACCAGTCTCAGTTCTGATGGAATTCATCCAGCTGCGGTTTAAGTTCCGGCTCGTCATACCATTCGGCTCCGCAAGGGCACAAAAAATAAGAGGCTTAATTAATTAGGCTCTTTTCGATTCATCGCAAAAACCAACTCCCAAGCTCGCTGTGAGTACTTTCGTACTTCGTGCAACGCGGTCTGTGCCTCTCTAGAGGGGAGTGACGTCATACCAAGCTTAATTAAATATTTTTATGTTTGTCGGATTTGTTGTGGTTTGTATGTGTGTGTATAGGGTGTAGACTAGTTTACCCACAGGGTAGTGAATGCTGCCTTGGTATGGCATTGTTCCCAAATCTTTAAATGAGATTTTTTGTATGTTACGTAACACGCGCTCAAAACTAATGCGTATAATATACCACATGAGATTATGACTAAAATCAAAATTTTAGTATTTTTCGATACGTCGGTAAAAAAAACACTTAAAAAGTATGTTTAGTGCTTTATCTGTAAAATAATGCTAAAATGAAGAGATTTTAGATGATACGCCAAAGAGAAAATGATGTCTGAAGTTCAGTACGTTTTGCTTAAATGGCTATAAATATTGCGTCAATTTTAAGGCATCATTGATAATTGTATTTTAATTGGCAATTTTTAACTATTATTTTATGTTTCTCAACCGGCAGACGCATTTAAAAAGGTAGCTAACTCTATAAACTGTAGAGAATAAAGCTAAAACAAAGTAATTTTGAGAGGAACGCCAAAAAGATTTTAGGTTTTGAACACTTTTCATTGCAAATACGTGACATTGAAAAAAAATTGCCTCTTAATATTTTAAAGAATAAGAGTAAGAAATATTCGTAATGAATTGGAATCATCCATAATTTATACACTTTAATGTGCCGTATGATAACTCGGCGCTCGAAGTTTCGTATCGAAAGAGGAACAGCCGAACAGGCCGATGGCTAACAAGAATGAGTATACTTATCAACTTATCTAATGCGAGGAAAAGATCAAAATGGCAGGTAAGGCTGTGATATCTAGTATATAAAATTGTATAGACAATTTGCCCACAAATACGGTGCTAGGTCAAAACGGCCCAAAGTCAAAACGGCCCAAAGTCAAAACGGCCCAAAGTCAAAATGGCCCAAAGTCAAAACGGCCCCGTTTGAATGATCATATGATTCAGACCAGGGATTAAAGGGCAATGACGATGACATGCAGGTGACATTTAACATGTGTGAGTGTGCGTCTCACTAAATTTGCGTGTTTAATAATGTTTATCAAAGAAGGCAAAAATATATACAAGACAACCTCACATGTGGAATCTGTTCACTTACGCACTGCGTTGTGATGCAGTACAAGTACAAATACAAATGACAAAGCATTTTTGCTGCCGCAGCGAGCGAGCCTGAAGCGAGCGAGCAAGGCAGCAGATCCTAATTTTGTTTTGTGGGTCGAAATCAAAATTTTCTATTTGGCGCATTGCATGACGGTACCAGTGAATTTTAACCGTGGTGCAGCGCGGTCAGGCGTAAGGCAAATATATAGGCAATGTGATCATGTTTCATCTTTTGTCTTCTTTTATGGATAGCTGGCTTAAAGTGATCAAACGGCATTTTGTTGAGTGCTTTTAGCATTATACGGCGGTGCTTTTGGCATTATACACGGTGCTTTCGCCATTATACGCGGTGGTTCCAGTATTATACGCGGTGCTTTCACCATTTATATACGCGATGCTTTTGCAATTATACGCAGTGGTTCGAGCACTGTATGCGGTGCTTTTAATATTATACGCGATGCTAGCTTTCATTCAACATTATTTCCATATTCTTTCCATGACATGTATATGATTTAACGATTGCTTAAATTTGGTATGTGCATGGTTGACAAATGCTTTTTGCCTATGGTCTGCAAGGACAATGACATGCTTTTCTGTGTATATACAAGTAAATGAATATAACGCAGCGAATGCGCCAAACAGTATAAACGCGGCTGAAATACGATATTAAAATCTTAAATGTACCGTATGATTTAATTATGTTTTAGGATTTACAAATGCTTTGTCATTTGTATTTATACTTGTACTGCATCACAAGGCAGTACGTACTGTAAGTGAAAAAACTCCACATGTGAGATTGTCTTGTATATATTTTTACTTTCTTTGATAAACACCTCTGGATAAACACTATTAAACACGCAAATTTTAATTAGTGAGACGCAATGTTAAATGTCACCTGATATCATTGTCATTGCCCTTTAACCCCTGGTCTAATTGGCCGCTTTTGAAAATATTGATCATGACGAACGGGTTAGGATAAAACGCGGATACGGACGGACGGATGGATGGATGGCGGACGGACGGACGGACGGATGAGTGGCGGACGGATGGCTTCCAAAAAACGTTTTCAGCCTTTTTTAAGCCATATCCGCGTTTTATCCAAAAGGGTATCCAAAAGGATAAAACGCGGATACGGACGGACGGATGAATGACGGACGGACCGGACGGATGGCATATATATGTCGTTATATAGTCTGCGCGCAGCCGCGCAGGCTAGTTAGTGCCTTACGTCTTCGCTGGTTGTTATACTTTAAAATAATTTTGTATGTACCGAGAAATCAATGTTCCGACTATATAAATATATAAACTGGGATGTCACACTGATAGCTTGTTTACATTTCCTGGAGCATCATGAAATCTTATGTTTAACCACGGTGGTTTAACCCATTAGCTGGCAATGCGCCCTTCCCTTGTCAAGCGCCAGAAGATTTTACTCGTCAGTGGTATAGGGTACTGCCAGTAAATGGGTTAACAAACCTATCTGCCAATGGCTCTTGTTAATTCATCAGCACAGTAATGACCCCTACTTTAGTATTTACCCTGTCCAACGCCAGACGATTTTTAATACTCAGTCAGTGGTTCGGTACTGTCAATAAATGGGTTAACAAGGATAACAATAATTAGCCTGCATGGCAGGCGGTATTTCCCAGGCTTGCCCAATTTTAGGAACGGCCTGCCATGCAGGCTAAACAATAATAGGATGTTTCTGAAGGACTCGTTCAACACTCTGTAGTTTGTCTTTTGCTGTCAAAGGCAGCATTACTGCCCTGTGGGTAACCTAGTTAACATAATTAAATCATACGGCACATTCAAGATTTTAATATCGTATTTCAGCCGCGTTTATACTGCTTGGCGCGCATTTGCTGCGTTATATTAATATATATACCTATGTTATATACACAGATTTATTACTAATAAATCAACACTATATGTTAATATATAAGAACTCACAAAGTGCAGTCACCTTTTTATAAATAAACCTTTTTAAAAGCATGTCAACTCATTGTCATTGCAGACCAGTCGACCAGAGGCAAAAAGCACAGCCACATAGGCCTACCAGGTCTACCAGATTTATTAAGCAATCGTGAGATTATATACATGGAAAGAATATGGAAATTATGTTAAAAGCACCCCGTATAATGACGAAAGCACCGCGTATAATGCTCGAACCACTGCGTATAATGGCGAACGCAGCGCGTATAATGGCGAAAGCACCACGTATAATGCTCGAACCACTGCGAATAATAGCGAAACCACCGCGTATAACGCTCGAACCACTGCGTATCGACAAAATGCCGTTTCATCACTTACACCAGCTATGGCTTTCCATAAAAGAAAACCAAAGATGAAAGATGATCACATTGCTTGTTTGCCTTATGCCTGTTTATTAGGCAAGAATAGCCTGCCGGCCCGGAAGCAGTACATTGTGGTAGGCCGAAATACGCCGAAACGATCGAGATTTCATCTGCCTTATATATATATATATATATATATATATATATATATATATATATATATATATATATATATATACATAAAGATTAGGACTGCTGCCTCGCTCGCTCGCTTCACGCTCGCTCGCTACGGCAGCAATAAGAGGCGGGCGCGGACTCCTGGACAACTGACCGGAATGACACAATGGCGCCGAATTTGGACAAAGTTGAGGTTTTACCTTGTCGGTGGTTAAACAGCCAGGATCTACTTGAAACTAGTTGAAACTTGTTTAAAATGTACTTGATACCATTTATATGTCTGAGCTAGTTTGCTTACATATTTGGAAGTATTTCAACGAGTATAGGCGATAAACAGTGGAGTAAAGTGGCGAATTCGGCCAAATACGTCCCAATTTGCAGGAGGTACGTATACGTACATTTCAAATTATTATTCCGGTCACAAAATGTTACAACGATTTTAGACAAAAACAGTAATAATATCACTTAAATAAGTACCAATTATGTTCCTATAAAAAAGATTTACGAAAAAGGTAATATAGGTCCACTGTTAAGTATTGCATGGTCGTTTTCTTGTGAAATATCAGTGCTAGGCATTTCACACTTACCAATGACTACCCCTCTAAATGCACCATCTCTGAACCATATAAGCACCTCAGAATAGCCAAAGCTTTTGTGGTTTGGTAGATAGCATATCATGGCGAAAGCGTCGTTTCTGGATGTGCATGGTCACTTTCGGACGGTTCGCCTCGGATTGTGGTTCGGACAGCGTTACAATGTTTACCGTCATGGTCAACTTGCCCGATGAGATTATCTGTCCTAAATAAAATGCATACAAACTCATGTACATGCAGGTCCTTGACTATTACAAAATTATTAATTTCCCAAATGTTTGGTATTAAACACTTAGTACTCTTGCTAAACCGGATGCTGCATCTGCATTATGTACGGAAGTCATTACGTATGTTCATCTCGGAGACCTGGCTTAATAGCAGGATTTTATCAAGGTTCATATGTCCCGATAGGTATATACTTGTAAGGAAAGATCGGTCGGATGAACGGCCGGGAGGCGGAGTTGCGGACCCAACATATCCAGAACCTGATCTACTTGCAATTTGTCCGAAAGTTGTGAACAGATGTTACAGATCCTGCTCTCGGACCCCGGTGCAAGAATAATAATTGCCGGTGACATGATATCAATCATCTAAAAATCACAGATTTTACTAGACAGCACAAATTGGATCAATTGGTGAAAAAATTTACTAGAGGCCCGAAAACGTTAGACGCATTCCTGACCAATCGTCCATATATTTGGAAAGTTTCTACCGTGTTTGCAAGTCTTGTCAGATCTGACCATTTAGCTAGCCGTTATGGTAGCGCCTCAAACCTTGCAAAAGCTGAGAAAAAACATGTGTTTTTTAGAGATGTAAGGGAGCACCGTAAGTTAGAGATGGAGAAAAGGTTGAAAGAATACAACTGGACCAGTGTGCGCAATATGAAGGATGCTAATGAGGCAGTTTCTATTTTAACTGATGCAATTGGAGGCATGTTTAATGGTTGTTTTCCTTTAATTAAGGTAAAGGTTTCCTCAAGAGACCACCCATATTCACTAAACCAAATTCGAGCTGTCAAAGATGAAAACAGAACATTTTCACGAGGGTAAAAGGAATGGTGGACTACGGTAAATAAAATTACGGACCGTACCATAGCTCTGTAATTGATCCGGGGCGGATGAATGAATTTTTTCAAAATATTAATACGGATACGTACTCATTATACAACCCCAGTACCTCGCAGAAGGTACCCGCATTGTCCGTGTGTTGTGACCCGATATCGTTCACTTTCATTTAGCATGTCTTAATTAGATCTGAAATATTTTTATGGGAACTAACACTTTCCGCCGCACGCTGAGTTCAAATCCGAAAAGTTCCCGCTATGTAGACCTGCAGTTTTCTCACAAAATGCTATTTTATCTTCAATGATTCCGCATGTACGGAATTATTTCTCAGCCCAGAGATATAGCCCAAAGACTTAACCTATTAACGTCCTTGTGATTTTATAGAGATAGAGGCAACGTCCAACACGCATAAGTTTACATAACTCAAAGTAATTCAAGCAAAACCGGTCTTTTGTTAAAAAGAAGACTGGTTAGCAGAAATTGGTCCTTTTGAGTGATTGATCGTGTATAGTTATCGATACGTGTCGTTGAACAATGAAAACATTTGGTGTGAAATTATCGTTGTCTACGGAGCGACAACTTTTCGGATTTGAACTCAGCGTGTTCGAAAGTGTTAGTTCTTTTCGAGTTCTTTACCGGCGTTGAATCATTAATGCAAACTACGGTACCAACTTTGGGGTTTTAGGCAATCACTCCTTCGATCTTTCATAAGCACTTTATCTGCTAATTTGATATGGGATCTTTTTACATTTTTCTTCCTATCATGATATTTTTTCGCCTTCTCTTTATACTTGCTATCATGATTTCTTCTCTTACGAATTGGAACGCTCAAATTCGTCGATCTTCCGACCGAACATCAACTCTATGGACTCTTCAATGTTGAAGGATGTGGCGTTGCTCTATCAAAATAGGATCACTGGCATGCTGGAAGCTTACAATCGACATTTTCTCTCTCTGTTATATGCGTATCGCTTTGTTCAGGTATACGCATAAGCTTTTCGCATTCTCCGTTTACTCGTGGGTGTCTGGGTGTAACTCTATGATGATTGAATCTTTTTTCTTGGCATACCCTCGAAATTCGTGTCCCTGAACGGCGGTCCATTGTTTTAACCAGGGCGTAATAAAACACGGGCCTGGAAATATGCTGATATTGCGCTGATTCATGTGTGATGCGGCTGGGGAATGAGCACGAGCACGCGTTTTGCAAAAAAATCAAAAAGAAAAGAGAAAATGGCAGCGAAACTAAGGTTTCATTTCAAGACTGGATGTTCAAAGTTACAAGATATGTTTAAACTTTATTGACCTAAATATTTAGTGTAACATTAAAAGAAAAGCTATTATACTTCAATTTTACTTAAAATGCACTGACTTTTAATAAATAAATGTTAATCAAAATTTTTCTTTTAAAATCTACAGCATTTTAAGCGCTGACAATAGATTTTACATTAGTTTTTGAAGTCCATAGATTATAACTGAGGCATAGGCGTATCGCCCCTGGGCGGCATCCCCCCCCCCCCCAATTTTGCGGTCGGAAAATTGAGAGAAATCCATGTGTCATTCTGGCAAATCATATAACTCTAATCAAAGTTGATAAGAAGAACCGTGGTCTACAATGAATAATTGAATATAATAACGCCAATATTAATTTCTTTTAATATTTATTTATTTATTTATTTATTTATTTTGCCACAATAGAGAGATATATATATACACACACACTTAAGAACTAAACAATACAGAAAACAACTAGTCAATGAATACTTCGTGGCCGGGTACCCACAACAGCGTGTGAAGCCAATTACTGTGGTCCCGATAAGTGAGAGAATACATGCACTAACTACAACATGACGTGGAGATCCTAAGTGTGCGTGCTGAATTGCATTTCAGACACATAGATTTCCATGTCCTTGGATCGTCCGAATCGAAAATTGTTTGAGATGCCGTCAAATAATATTCTTTAAGCAAACTTCTAAAGCGTAATAGAGATGTATCCATGCGGCGCATTTCGTCAGGTAGGTTGTTCCAAACTCTGCACGTGCGTGAGAAGAATGATCGTTGAAAAGTTATGGTTTTACATCTTTTAGGATGAAAGTAGAGTAGACTAGGATCGGAAGTATTTCAGGTTGATCTTGTGGGAATATGTTGAGTTGGCTTGACTTCAGAGTTCATGGTGGTAATATTGTGAACAATTTTGAAGAAAAATACCAGATCAAGGAATTCATGCCAGTAGGAGATAGGAAGTAGATGGAGTGAGTTCAAACGTTGTTTATAGGTTATATCAGTTTTAAAAGGTAGGTTTAGGATGACTTTAGTAGCACGACGCTGGACCCTTTCGACACGTGGCGTATGGCAAAGATTATGAAGATTGCAGAAACATTGAGCATTGTTCTTAGTTTTCGTTTTAGTGTTTCTAGACATTTTGGTTAAACCTCTGCTAAAGCAGCCTTTACACAATCATACTTATTTGTTTATAAAAGCACATACAAAATCCAGGGCCTTTTTTAACATACAAGCTGGGGCCTGGGGGGCAAATGCCACTACTTTTTTACCACTAAGTAATGATAAATTATTGTTAATAATTTATTTATCAGTTTTTGTGCGTTTTTTCCTTCTTTTATTTCAAATACAAGTATAGTTAAACTAAATTTTAGAGCAAATCTGGATGTTCAGAATGCAGGAAATGGCATTTCCTGGCTTCAAATTTCAAACATTTTCTGGGGGAGTATGCCCCCACACACGTGGCCTACGGCCATTGCAATCCCCATCAAATAAGTAATGATAAATTATGGTTAATATTTTTTTTTACTTTTTCCTTCTTTTATTTCAAATACAAGTATACTTAGCATACATTTAAGAGCAAATTTGGATGCTCAGAATGCAGAAAATTGCATTTCCGCGCTTCAACTTTCAGACCCCCCTTAGAGATTCATGAGTGGTATATGTCGGCCACATGACTATCCCACACTAATACTGATTATCTCACAGAAACGTCTCTTTTCAAAAAATGCCCCCCCGGAAAATCCTTAAAGGCCCTGATAAAACCGAACAAGCCGTATATGTGTACGTGTAACAAAGCGGTCGAACAAACTCCCCCCCCCCCCCCAAACAAGATTATTATCCCGAGAAGATTACAAGGTTATTTGTATATATAAATTTTCCGCCATATTAAAAATACTGAAATCTGCTAGGCGTTCTGAAGCACCTTTAGCGGTGACATCTAGCCCCCCGTCTCGTACTATATCCACGTTTCTTTTCGCGCTTGCTTCAGAACGACTGGGACTAGGCTGCAAAAAGTCGTCAAGTGCATAAGTGCATTGATAATTAATTCAAGAATACTTTTCCAAACCAAGTTTAAACTGATGTTTTTCGACACATGTTTCATTACTAGTAAAATCGTCGGTTTTGTTTAGTAAAGAAGCGTAGTGCGGCGTTCGAACGCAATAGCAGATGTGCGAGCATTGAGCATTTTTGGGCTGCAAATGTTTTTAGCTTCACTGGAGAAACAAACCGCGGAAAAAGCTCGTAAATTTTTCCTAGGTCCGAAACCTACCCAAAACTTTTGTAGTCTATGAGATTAAGTTATGATATACTCCGAAATACAATATTAGATAACTGGCTTTTTTGATAAAGCATGTCTTTTTGCCTCGCTTTTTTATGTTGCCAGATCAAAATATAGCTTGTCGCCTTGAAAGGGACGGGACATTTTATAATCAATGAAAAACAAACAGCGGAAAAATTATATTTTTGCTCGTAAAAGTTCTCCTAGGTCCGAAACCTACCCAAAACGTTTGTATTCTATAAGATTAAGTTATGATATATCCGAAATACATTAGATAACTGGCTTTTTTGATAAATTTAAAGCATGTCTTTTTGCCTCGCCTTTTTGCGTTGCTAGATAAAAAATATAGCTTCTCGCCATTAGCATTGAAAGGGACGGGACATTTATAAACAATTAAAAACCATATAGGCAGCTCAGCAAATATGTATATTCACTTAAAAATGCATTAATTAAACACTTAACAATACGTATAAAGTTCGTCTGAATGACGAACGGAGTAATGACGGAGCCTTAAGGTTTTTTCAAAGTGCGTCGCCCCCTAAGAAGAAGAAGAAGAAGAAGAAGAAGAAGAAGAAGAAGAAGTCTAACACAAGTCTAACACAAGAGTTCAAGTCTCGACCTTCCCTGGATGTACTACACTAGACATGGATGACTATATTAAGCCAGTATTAAGAAAAAAACCTGACAAATTGATTCTACACGTCGGCACAAATAGCCTAAAGGGTCGTGAGAATTCCACTCATTGCGCAGAAGAAATTATATCATTGGGAGAAAAAATAAAGAGATCAATCCCCGAGACGGAGCTAGTCGTGTCTGGCCTTGTCACGCGTTCAGATGACGAAATGCTAACACGTAAAGTCAATGAAGTCAACGCAGCGCTGAAGGAATCTTGTATTCAGAAACATTGGAAATTCATCGACCACACTAACATTACAATTAACCAATTAAACCAGAGTAGAATCCACCTCAACAAAATGGGATCAAGTATGATGGCACGAAATTTTACAAACTATATTTACGATAGGAATTGTTAGGATACAGCCATGTGGGAGTCCGTAAGTAATAATGCTGACGAACAATCTAGATTAGATGAAGAAATGCCAACAAAAGTGGGTGAGTTAAACGAACCAAGTTATTCTAATAGAAATAGCCTACCATATATAAACGTAGACAAAATACCATCTCATCGTGGTATGGTTATGGCTTGTTTGAATATTAATAGTCTCTTATCCCATATTGATGAATTACGAATATTTACAAGTAGCACTAAAATAGACATATTATGTATAAACGAAACCAAGCTTGATTCCACAATTACCGATCAGGAGGTCTGTCTACCAGGTTTTGAAATTGTTCGAAGAGACCGAAGTGTAAATGGCCGTTATGGCGGCGGCGTTTGCATTTATATTCGGTCTAACATTAATTATAAAATAAGACATGATTTACATTTGGAAACTCTCGAAAATTTGATAGTAGAAGTAAAAAAACCAAGATCAAAATCTATTTTGGTTAGTACTTGGTACAGACCACCTGACTCTCCTGCGAGTCATTTCGGTGATTTTGAAAAAATGATCGGTTCATTTGATGCGGAGAATTTAGAGTATTTCCTGCTTGGTGACCTAAATGTAGATCTCTTGCCAACAACTGGATCACTGAACAGTAATAAATTGACAGATATTAGATATCTATGACATAGAGCAGTTGATAAATGAATCTACCAGAATTACCGCTACAACTAGTACTCTAATTGATCTTTGTCTTACTAATACACCCTCTAATATTGCAAAATCGGGTGTCGTACATTTATCAATTAGTGACCATTCATTAGTCTATATGATACGTAAGGCTCATTATGTACGAGAAGGTACTAGAACAGTGGAAATTAGGTCATTGAAGAATTTTAATAGAGAAAGCTTTTTAAGAGATTTAGAACAAAAACAGTGGCATAACATATGTTGTTCCCAGGATCCAAACGAAATGTGGGAGATGTGGAAAAACATGTTAATGGCAACAATTGATAAGCATGCACCACTTAGATCTAGACGCACTAGAAAGCGTAAATCCCCTTGGATCACAAATGAATTAAAGCGCAGGATATATAATAGAGACTACTTAAAAAAGAAAGCTATTTCATCAAATGACCCTCATGTTTGGCAAGATTATAAACAAGCTCGAAATCAAACTAATGCCGAAATTAAGAAACTTAAGCGAGATTATTTCACAAAAAATCTAGAGCTCAATAAACATAATATGAAAAAGACATGGCAACTAATTAATGAATTGAGCTCTAGAAATACTGGAAAAACGAAAAGAATAAGTGAAATAAATTTGGGGGAACAAGACATAACCTCGCCTGTTGAAATAGCCGAAGCATTTAACAGCTACTTTTCTAGTGTTGGTGACAACCTTGCCGCCGAAATACCATATCCTGATCATGATCCGAATTTCTATCTTAAACCATCCGATAAAACGTTTTCATTGCAAACTCCGACTGTTGATACCGTTCACAGATTTTTTAGTACAATTGATGAGAAGAAATCTGTTGGTCTAGATAAAATACCCAATAAGTTATTGAAATTAGCGGCAGACGTGATTGCGCCTTCTTTAACTGGAATATTTGCTACATCTATAAATACAGGAATATTTCCGCGTGAGTTGAAGGCGAGCAGGGTGTCACCAATATTTAAGAGTGGTGCTAAAACTGACCCAAGTAACTATCGGCCTATATCCGTTATTCCAGTGGTTGCAAAAATTTTTGAAAAAATCATTTTTGATCAATTATATGAATATCTTAATACGAATAAGCTGTTAAGTCCCTGTCAATCTGGATTCCGATCAATGCATAGCACTTTAACGGCACTAATTGAGGCTACAAATAGTTGGTCCGTTAATATTGACAATGGACTAGTAAATGGAGTTGTTTTTATTGATTTAAAGAAAGCTTTCGATACGATTGATCACGACATTATGTTGCTAAAACTTGAAAATTATGGAGTTGAGCGAAATAGCCTAACTTGGTTTAAATCGTATCTCACCGATAGAACTAAAAAATGTCTGGTCAATGGTCAATTGTCAAACTCCGTCCCAATAACCTGTGGCGTTCCTCAGGGAAGCAATTTGGGGCCACTACTTTTTCTTGTCTATATTAATGATTTACCAAACTGCCTCAATCATACAACACCCAGAATGTTTGCAGATGATACGAGCGTCAGCTACGCCTCAAATTCTGTTGAAGAACTGGAAAATATCATGAACTCTGACCTCAAAAATCTCAATAGTTGGCTTACAACCAATAGATTAAGCTTAAATATCGTAAAAACAGAGTTTATGATTATTGGTTCTCGCCAGAAAATAAGAGTTATAGATGGGGAAATGAATATTAAGATAAATGATAATAACATAAATAGGGTTGATTTCGTCAAATCCTTAGGGCTACACATTGACGAACACCTTTCTTGGTCAGTACATATTCGCAAATTATGTAAAAAAATTGCTTCAGCTATAGGCGCTTTAAAACGCATTAGACCGTTTATTACCATGAACACTGCTATTCAAGTTTACCAATCTTTAATTCAACCTCATTTTGACTACTGTTGCTCGGTCTGGGATGGTCTTGGTGAAACATTAAGCTGTAAAATACAGAAATTACAGAACCGAGCGGTAAGGGTCATTACGAGGTCTAGCTACGATACCAGGGCAAGCACCCTATTAAATACTTTACACTTAGATCGCCTTTTCTTAAGACGCAAAAAGCTTAAGGCTGGCCTAATCTTAAAGACTCTCAAAGGGAATGTACCGTCATATCTACAAGACTTTTTTTCAGTTCGTGACACAGGGTACAATTTAAGAAATTCTGAGACAAGATTAAATTTGCCCAAGCCACGAACAAATTACTTAAAACGAAGCTTTTGTTATAGTGGTGCCTACTTGTGGAACAGTCTTCCTCAAGATATACGAAAGCTTCAAACATTTCCACAATTTAAGAAAGCTATAGATAAGTATTATAATAATTCAAGTGAACTCCCACACGGCAATCTTCAGTGTAAACAAGTAGTATATAATTTTTAGATTTTTTAATAATTGATGTGTGTATGTAACTTATAACTGTCTTATTACGCTTATAATAGTTAGATTATCCATGTACTGAAGATTTTACCGTGTTTAAATAAATTTGTATTGATTGATTGAAAATAGGGCACTTTTTTCACTTTCAAAAAGTGTGGGGGGGGGCGGGCACATGCCCCCATTCCCCCCCCCCCGGTTCCGCGGCCCATGAATTTGCTGAATGCCGATTTCGCTATTTTCCCAACATGCAGTAAGGATGCGTTTTTGTCGTGTACGTTTCGTATTCTGGCGTATTAAAATGAGTGTTGGCGCCATAATTCATTGCCGTTTCGTTAAAAATTTCAAATGTAGGCAGCTTACAAGTGTTTACTCAATGACATACGCCAGAAAACGAATCATACAAGATTAATCGCAGGGTGTAAACCAGGGCGCAGTAAAACACGGGCGGCGAAACGCGCTGATATTTGCGTGATCCATGTGTGATGCGGCGGAAGACTGGCGCGAGCGAGCGTTTCGCGAAAAATGCAAGAAGAAAAGCAAAATCATGGCGACAAAAAGAAATTTTTGCAACTCGGAAAGACCTGACAATATTCCAGGTACTGTAAGCCATCGTTAAATATTTGTTTTTGCTCCACAATTTTGAGAAAATATATCTTTTTTACAATTCCACATCATTTAATTGAGTAAATACCTCTCTGTCTTCCAAAAAACGACTCGACTCTCAAAAAATCTGAATGCAAATTATATCAAAATTCACAATTTAATACAGCGCGACAGGATTTAAAATGAATGCTGTATGCTCCCTAGATAGTCCAAGGTGAATTTGACATTGCAAAATGCTGCCAAAATGCATCAGCTATGCAATGCACATAATGCGAAGACTGGCTTTTTTTACTTTTTTGCAAAGCAAGGATTTTCCCAGTAACATAGTTTTCTTATTAGTGCCGACAGGGCGGAAACATACACTTTTCATAATTAAAACAAGAACATATTAAAATTGCCGCTCATTTTTCTTGACAAATTAGATTCTTAAATTAAAAAACCTTCAAGTGACCTTAATTGTTTTAAGAATCTTTAAGGTTTTAAGCATATTAAAGCTCATTTCTAATACAGACTTAGCAAAAACAAAATTATTTCACTCGCAAACCTAAATCATCACAAGCCAATTTTTGTACACTATAACGAAGCGCAAAAAATCTATTTTATAATAATTTCTATATTTTTAACCCAACCCTAGGTGTGAAACTTGCCCTAAAAATTTGTATACAACAAGGCCAAGTTATATAGTTTCCAAATTTCATTACTAGAAAACCGGCTTTTTTGTTTAAACACAGTTTTTCAAGCTTGTTTCGGCAGTGTCACGTCCAAAAACAAGAAGCCGACAAAGGGAATGTACTTCCATGTTGACCAAAATTTTATCGTAAAACAAACCGCGCAAAATGTCTGTATTTTTTTTCCTAGGTGTGAAACTTGCCCTTAAAATTTGTACACAACAAGGCCAAGTTATATAGTTTCCAAATTTCATTACTAGAAAACCGGCTTTTTTGTTTAAACACAGTTTTTCAAGCTTGTTTCGGCAGTGTCACGTCCAAAAACAAGAAGCCGACAAAGGGAATGTACTTCCATGTTGACCAAAATTTTATCGTAAAACAAACCGCGCAAAATGTCTGTACTTTTTTTCCTAGGTGTGAAACTTGCCCTTAAAATTTGTATACAACAAGGCCAAGTTATATAGTTTCCAAATTTCACTACTAGAAAACCGGCTTTTTTGTTTAAACACAGTTTTTCAAGTTTGTTTCGGCAGTGTCTACGTCCAAAAAAAAGACGCGGGCAAAGGGAATGTACTTCGATTCCATGTTGACCAAAATTTTATCGTAAAACAAACCGCGCAAAATGTCTGTATTTTTTTTCCTAGGTGTGAAACTTGCCCTTAAAATTTGTATACCACAAGGCCAAGTTATATAGTTTCCAAATTTCACTACTAGAAAACCGGCTCTTTTGTTTAAACACAGTTTTTCAAGCTTGTTTCGGCAGTGTCACGTCCAAAAACAAGAAGCCGGCAAAGGGAATGTACTTCCATGTTGACCAAAATTTTATCGTAAAACAAACCGCGCAAAATGTCTGTATTTTTTTTCCTAGGTGTGAAACTTGCTCTAAAAATTTGTACACAACAAGGCCAAGTTATATAGTTTCCAAATTTCATTACTAGAAAACCGGCTTTTTTGTTTAAACACAGTTTTTC